GGGGCGGCGGGGGTGAAGCCGGCGGGTGACAGTGTGGGGGCAGGAGCGGCAGGCGGCACGGGCCGGTGCAGAAGGAATCCTGTGTGGCTTCCGAGTGCCTCCTCACCAAGTGCTGAGGGATTTCATGGGCATCGGCACACACACGTAGCTGTTGGACATCTTGAAACAGGCAGGACCTAAGGCCATCTCTTCCAGGTGGCCAGGGCTTGCTTGGGTAAGGTGGGAGAAAATGGGAACATCGTGAGCAGGCACTCAGCACGGAGGCGTCCAGGCTCCTTTGCAGTCTGCCAGGCAGAAATGTGCTTTTGCTTCCTGACTGCTGCAGTAAACAACAGATTATTTTTTTAAAAAGTCTCCTAGGACATTTTTTCATCGGAGCAGGGACTGATTTCTACATGTGTAGAAATTTTGCTACCTTGCTTCCCACAGCTGCACTCCACTGCTCCTCCACTGTGACCGCATCTCACCGGATGCTGTTTGGTTGCAAAGTCTGAGACGGGATCAACCTTGGTGTACAAATGGCAAATATGCAAAAGGGAGCCTACAGTGAGGGCAAGTTAATAGTCATTTAGTTTGAAAGCGTTAATTTTCACACAACATACCCGATCCATACATGGGGATGCAGTAAGGGAGGGTGCTTATTCGTGCCACAGCCATTTGAGGACTCAAAGTTCACTGTCGGGAATTATGGTCGTTGGGCTAACCATTAAATAGACCTAGCAGTTTATAATGCAGTTTTGGCTCTGTAACATTGTAGCCGTTGAATATTCAAGGTTTGGGTACTGTACTGCAAAATAATAATAACAACAATAAAAAGCTTTGATCTTATTTTTAATCCTTCCTTTCTCATATTGAGTGTCTATGTTTTAGAGGGAACAGAGAAAAATATTTAAGATAAAATTTACTTTGTATCTCAAAATTAAGAAATTCAGAAAAACTAGAGACAAAAGACCAGAACATTTCTCTGGATTGCAATGACCTGTTTTTAATCCCTTTCCTTGTGCTTGAATCCAATTACTGTAGTGCTGAACTGGAAAATGGAAGAAACTGTGCTCCAATGACCACCTTAGGTTAAAAAAAGTGAATGCCGCAGTCACAACAAACTTGCAGACAAATCCATTATCGATAAACTGTTGCACTTGTTAGTATAGGATAATTACAACTTGTTATTTAATATGTGTCTTTAAGATCAAGGAGATATATGTGTATTTCAAAATTCAATAAAATTTGCTACTGAATTCAAAATGAATCAGCCTGCATTTTGATTGCAAGCTATAATACTCTTGTAAACAGAGGTATATAACAAGAATCCACAGGCTTGATATCGTCAGTATAATTTCTGCACGATTATTCCCTTCTTTCTTTCTGCTTGTCCCTTTTCTCACACTAGCAACTGACCCAAGTGAAGTTTAAGCAATGTTTGCATCAGTTGTGTCACAGCTTTCGAAAAATGCCACTCCTTTGCCTGGAAGGATGAGTGATGAAATCTGTCCTTGAGATGACATCAGTGTGCAGCAAAGTTCCAGGCAAATCCCATGACATGACATAACCAAAATATGTGTTCCTTGTTTGCTGGGGGATTTTTTTTTTTCCATGTAAGTCCTCCTTCCTTCACGGGGGCTTCATTCTCACGTGCAGTTGGTTGTACAGACTGCAGCGAAACCCGTGCGAACTGGGACTGCTACGGGCACAACGCTCCCCTGCCTGGTCCTTTGGGTGCCTTTGGTACCAGGACACGCTGCTTGTGCCTCATTTTACTCTTCAGAAAATGCTACTAAGCATTTCCCGATAGTCTGGTCAGGCTTTTTTTTTTACAGAGGATTGGTTTGTTTGGGTTTTGTTTGTTGTTTTTTTTTTGTCTTTTTTTTTTCCAAAATTTTGGACAAAAATATTACTTTTTAAAGCTGTTACACCATAGTTACTTTTCATTCTACTAATGGTTATAATGTAATTTGAGTAGGGTGGGGTTTTTTTTTGCATTGACAACCAAAAACTGAAGAGCAAGAACACCTCCCTTCCTCCCTCCCCATCCCAAGTTCTGAATTACCGTTAAGTGAATGTTCCTAAGCCATTTATAGGGACTAGAAATAATTAAGACAAACAATTTAAGCAATCAAGTTTGTCAGATCTTACAGCCTGTTTTAGCAGTACTTTAAAAGCCATTCTGTGATAAAAGACCTTTTCTAAACTATATCAAGAACTAGATTACAGCAATCTTTATTGGGGTTGTTCTTGTTACAACTAATTGTACAGTCACACGAATATACAGCAGTGAACTCCATGTGCAGAAAACCAAAGCAAATATTGAACCTTCCTTAGTACAAATTCGGAGACCCAGATCCAGGAGCCTTTAATCAAAATCTCAATTAACTTCAAAGAGTTTTACTTGAGTAAAAATTGCAAGCAGAATCCAGTACAGAAAAATTACCATTTTAATTGCTACTAGTCTGATTAAGCGATTCAACTTCCAGTTGATGCAAGCACTTACATTAACACTAAAAAATTATTAAGGGTCATTTATATTCAACCAAGTCTAACACTGCCAAAGATTTTTTTTATTTTTTTTTTTTTCCAGAAGACTGCAGCAAAGATCAGCACAGCTTCCAAACAACCCAGCACATCCTTGAAGAAATGCTGCTCGACGAAGCTTCAAGAAACGACCTTGCAGCAGAAGCAAGCCTTGGCAGCCCACGAGCACGGTGCTGCCACGACGCCGTGCCGTCACGGGAGCTGGCAGCCGTGAAGAACCGTACTGCCGACGCCGTTTGCGATGTGTGGTTGACTGGGTGGGTGAACTGGCCTCTCTCTCTCTCTCTCTGCGGTGCTGTATGTCTAATTATCAGTAGATGGCACTCATCGAGCTGCTCTGCAAGCGCAGGTCCATTTTATACACAGATCAGGGTTTGGGGCAGGCAGCCTCCTAACACATCACAGAAATAAAGGATGGCTATCGGGCACGGTCAGTGCTG